ACTCAAGCTCCAACCACTACAACTCCGGCTCCAACCACTACAACTCCAGATCCAACCACCACAACTCCAGCTCCAACCACCACAACTCCAGCTCCAACCACTACAACTGCAGCCACCACAACTCCAGCTCCAACCACCACAACTGCAGCCACCACAACTCTGGCTCCAACCACCACAACTCCGGGTCCAACCACTACAACTCCAGCTCCAACTACTACAACTCCAGCTCCAACAACCACAACTCCGGATCCAACTACCACAACTCTGGCTCCAACTACCACGACTGTAACCACCACATCTCCGGCTCCAACCACCACTATTGCAGCCAATAGAACTCCAGCTCCAACCACTACAACTCTGGCTCCAACCACTACAACTCCAGCTCCAACTACCACAACTCCAGTTCTAACCACCACAACTCTGGCTCCAACCACCACAACTGCAGCCACCACAACTCCAGCTCCAACCACTGCAAGTCCTGCTCCAATTAGAACAACAATATCTCCAACGACCACAACTACATCCACCACAACTCTCGCTCAGACAACCACTCTTTTAGCCACTACATCCCCAATAAGTATATCCCAAGGTATGTGACTCCCTGACTCCCTCCTTTTTCCCTTTTTATTTTTCTTTTCTTTTCAACCCTCCTGACCACAGTGCAATTCTTTGTTATGCTTAATCTAATGTGCTACTTAACAAGGTGGAAGGCACTAAATTCACCTTGACATTTTCGGTCAATTTCAACATAAGGATCAATGCAGTCCTTTGTTGACCCCCCCTGTATTGTTTGATTAGAAAAAAATATGGAAAAAAAATTCCTCAAATCGTACAAAATGACTAAGCCACACATTCTTATATATTCCTATACATTTTTGATTCTAGTGGCCATAGAAACGTGAATCTTGATGAATTGTACTGAAAATGAAAATACAATTCACCTTGAATCCATCCTAAATTTTATTTCCAAAAACAGATCCTAATTTTATGTACCTTCAATATTATTAATAAAACTGCTATAACTGTATGTTCAAGGACATGCATTTAACAGGAATTCTGTTCTGTTCTGTTCTGTTTTTTTCTTTTATTAATTTCCAAACAAGATGTTTTTTAATCCCTACAGGCTTGAAATCATTGGCACATCTACAGATGAAGATAACTTCTATTGGAGAGATCAGCAATGGAACCATCACTGAACATGTTAAACAGGTATGTCAAACAGAAAGTGTAAAACTTTATCAATGATAATGAATACATGCAATATAAAGTATGGGATGAAGGGGATGAAATAGATCTTCTGACATGTATTCTCTGTGTTTTCTCTCTTTTTTTAGTTTTTTGACCAGCTCCTGAATGGAACAGCCCACACAGTAACAGTGACAAAAATCCGGAGGGTTAGAGTTGCCCCATAGATACTTCATGTAGACAGAAATAGTCCAAAGTGAATGTATAACGACAACAATTGATAATCCCCAAACAGTATTGTTGAATGTAAATTGTGGCAATGTGTAAGTGGCAAAGTGTCAAATTATTTGCATATTATTTGCATGGCATAATGGGAAGCTCAAACAAAGCAGTCTGACCTGTCAAAGAAGTAAAGTAAATATTTTCTAAAAGATTATTTTTGTACTATAGTTATTGTTTATTTTATATGATATTAATTAGACTTTAAATAAAGTAAAAAATAATTATTTAGTGACATTGTTTGTAGCTACAATACTTTCTGGTAGTCCTTAGATAGGAATCAGAATCAGAAATACTTTAATAATCCCAGGGGGAAATGATTTATTTTATAATACAAGATGAGCTGTTTTGTTATTTGATGTAATATTACGCCATTTTGAAATGTGAATAAAGAGATATTTACTATTTGAAGTACCTTTCTTTGTGTTATTTTTGTGTTGCTCTTGTTTATTCATTCAGTCCATCATGTTTCTTGTTTTATTTTGTTGCTTACCTCTCCTATCCCTTCAGACCACTTCACTTCCTGCCACTTTCCCTCCAGTTTGATGTTTGTTGTTGTTTGACTGTGAACAACAAAGATGATATGAAGGTATTGAGATAATAGAGAAACTCCTGTTTGCAATTTAGTATGATAGTAAGTATGATAGTAATGGAAATATTTTAAGAATATTGCACTTTATTGTAGTACTATTGCACTAACGTTGAAGTGGCCCTCCTATGAGAGGAAAATACCAGCAGTTACTACTCAAGTCTAGAAAATAAAAACCACTTAAATCACTGTTTAATATATATTTCATGTAGACTATGTGAAAGTTGTTTTTCTATCCCATAAGTACCCACTAGAGGTCAGTTTCCACCTTTGTTCCAGCTTTGGCAGAACACCACTGGTCCTACATATACCTTCATATAAATTCAAAGTTCACTCTTGCACAATGGTTTATTTTTTAATATAAGAACCCTGGAATAACAGTTGCTAACATCAACCACAGGAGTTACCAACAATGAATGTTCCATTTACTGAAGTGTAGCAGACCCTTTCCAGTGACATCATGCAAAATAGTGGCACCCTGACTCTGTTTGACCTGAACGGAACAGGGCCTTGATTAGGTTACATGGTAACATGTTAACGTTCCTTGTCATACCAGGTCAGATAAAGCCTTGTCTGAACTAACGAAGGGTTCATTTTTTTGTTTCAAAACGTACATAGTTTGGCACTCAAAGAGATTAGGTCAGGGGTAGGCAACCTGCGACTCTTTAGCCCCCTCTAGCCTGTGGCTTAGAGAGGGAAAAAAAATACAAAAATGACATCTTCATTTTCATTTATCATTGATGTAGACCAAAAGGGAATCTTACATTCTCCAATTGTAAAAATGTTTAGTCATTACACATCGGATAAAACTAACATTTTAACAAAACACCACTAAATGTGCGTCATACATTACTTCCTGACCTGGTGCCTTTTCCTCTATATTTTGCCAAACTAAAATACTCAATAGTGGTGGCCACTAGTCTTGAGTTTCCCATGCTAGGCTAGCTATGGATTCCAAATCCAAGTCTTGAAGGAAAACAGAGAATTTAATAGTGCATGGACAAATTTGTTTCTTTTCACCACCAACCACCAACACTGCTGGTTTAACACTATGTTTGATCTGCAGCGAGAGATTAGCATAAGGCTCAAATACGTTTCACGCCTCTAGACAGGTTTTTTGCCAAAAATGGCTCTTTAGATTGTAAAGGTTGCTGACCCCTGGATTATGGTTAAGGCCGAACACTCTACAACTTCATCATTGTTTTAAATATAGCATATGCAGGGGCAGATCTAGAGAAATATTTATGGGCTGTCGAGAAGGTGGCATGGAGACTTTAAGGGAAAGCAGAAATATATGCTGATTTGATCGCAGACAGTCACATATATCAATATTTGCTTTGAAAATCTCCCAAATTAACATACTTGCACTAAAAAACATTACTTTCAGGAATCAAGTAAAGGCTGTATATCGAAATGAAAGTTTGTAGTTCCTTCATGCATCATTTACACACGGTTCACCTGTCGAATCAACACTCAGGATGTTGATGGAGCAGGTCTCTGTAAAGATGTGGGCAAAACAGTTACTGATTTCCCATTGTTTGGCCAGCATATCATCCAGAACATTAGTTTTGGATGATAGGAGCAGCCTTAAATCCAAGCTGGGCCAGCCGGCTCTCCTTCTCTCCTCCTGGAATGACAGCACCCGCTGTTGGTGGGCTGTTCTTTCAACCCATGCTTTCTTTTCCGATGACTGTACACCATTCCTGTCTTAATGCCAATGTGTTTCAGCAATGAAGCCAAAAACAGAGAGGTTTGAAGGATCTAGCCTTACTGTCCCAGCATCTGAACACACAGCCGTTGCCATAGTCAAAATCTCTTAAATCCATTTGATTTGATACATTTTGCTCAGACACAATCAGACATCATTCAATTATATATTTAGCAAGAAAGCAAAAAAAAAAAAATTAAAAAGAATTTAGCAACTTTTACAGGAGCTACCAGTCATATGAGGCACATTAGTAAAGCATTGCATAGAAATATCTAAAGGTGGCTTTAGAACTCAATAAATAGTTTTATTTCAAAATCTTCATCTCTTTTTTTATTGAAGCTTATCTCTTAATGATGATAATAAAACATGGCCGTAACAGATCATTCAATTAATTAAATAATGTGTTAATTTCACACAAATTCTTAAATTAATTTAAATTAATTTGTTCAATTTGAAAGCATTTTACACCAAACTGAGGTGGCAGCTGGGGTGGCCAGGCATTTTTTAGATCTAGATCCGCCCTTGAGCATATGGAGTTAGCTCTGCCCAAGTTCAACCAGAAATTAGCCCACTGAAAAAACCTGTGTAGCCCTGTACCGTTTAGTCTGAAGCAGTTCGTCAAATCCAGATGGGAGTTTTAGTCCATTTTATTTCATGTTTAACAATCACATCAATAGTTTACAAGTAATCAAAAAATAAGATTCTAAATAAAACAGTACAGATTATAAGAATAATCATTATGAATTAAAGAGCAGCAGTCACACTTTAAATAATTGAAAAAAGATTGCTGAGCAAGACATGTGATTGCTTGCTTGCAACAATAATGCATACAAAAACAAAACTCTGTGTACTATATTCAGGTGTAGAAATCTGTGTACACACAAAACAGTAAACATGCATACTGTGCCCTTTCGTCAGATTTTGTGAAATTGTGCGCACTTGCACGAGCCTTCTGACCATTCCCACAGTTTAATATAAATCAGCTGAGACTTATTTTTAACGATTTAAATATACTGTCTTCAGTGATTGTGTAATGGCAGGAGTGTAGTGGTATGTTGGCTATGATACAATGCTTTGTTGTTTGAAACTGAAAAGAGGACAAAGATGACATGATTGAACTCTTTTGCTATTGTTCAAGCATTTTAGCTTGGACAGAGATATTCACAAAATTTTAACAGTTCAGTGTGGACAGAGCCGGAGATATGTGGTCAAACCAATGC